ACAGGAGACACAGTCCACACAGAACATTCAGTGCATTTTTGTTCACTAGAAACCACCAAAGCAAAGATGCACACTGGTAAGCCCGGCAATCTGGAGGCTGAGGCAGCAGTAGTTCAAGGCCAGCCTGCCTGGACTACATGGAGAGACCCAAAACAAAAGGAACGGAGGGAAGGGAGGGAAGAGGGAGGAAAAGACAGCAGGGAGGAAAGAAGGGAGGGAAGGGGGAAGGAGAGAAGGAGGAGAGAGGGAAAGAGGGGGAGGAAGGGGGAAAGGAGCAGGGAGGAAGGAAGGGAAGGAGGGAGGAGAGAAGGGAAGGAAGGAGGGAGGGGAGAAAAGGAAAGCAAAACAGAACTGTGGTGATTTGAATGAGAAATTTCCTCCCATGGGCTCATGTGTTTGAACACTTGGTCCCCAGTTAATGGTGCTGTTTGGGGGTCCGCTAAGGAACCTTTAGGAGGTACAGCCTTGCTAGAGGAAGCACATCACTGAAGGAGTGTTTTGAGGATCTTGTAGCCTCACCACACTTGTCCGTTCCCTCATTCCTTCCTGTGTGTGGATGTCATGTGACCAGGCAGCCTTCTGCTGCCCCCGTGCCTCCCCAGCCATTGCAGACTCTATCTCCCTGGAGCTGAAAGCCAAAATCAACCCTTTCTTAAGCTGCTTCTGGTCAAGGTGTTCTAGCGCAGCAACCGGAAAGAGCTAAGACAAGCTCCAAAGCACCATTCCATATATGACGTCATCGAAAAGAAGCAGATGATTGACAATAAACTGGACAAGAACAGGCTCGACTTATAGACTGAAAACGCCAACGTATCTTCTAGAGAAACTAAAGACCTGAGAAGATGGAAAGACAGCTGTTGTTTGTAAACTTGAAGACAATATTGTTAGAATGACAGTATTTCCCATTTTGAACAGCAGATTCAGAACAAAATCCATGCAAATCTGAGTTGCCTTTATACAGAAGCTGACTATCTAATCCTAAAATTATATCAAGATATGCAAATGGACCCAGAGTAGCCAGAACAATCTTTAAAAAGAACAAGATTGGAGAACTCTACACTTTTAAAACTTACTACAAATATCCAGCAATCAATCAGGGAAGTGTGGAAACCAGTATTTCCATTTGGCAGTGTCATGGAAAAATTAAATATAGAATTACCATGTGAATCAAAATTCTACTTCCAAGAATGTAACCAAGGGGAAAGGCTCATCGCACTCACATAGTAAAACTGTTCATCCTATCTAAAGAGCAGAAGCAACCCAAATGTATGTCAAGTGACAAAGGGACAAAATATGGGGTGTGTGCAGCAGAGTACCCAGCCATAACAAGAAATGACTGGGTCAATGGTCAGTCACAACAGAGACATGCCTTTCAAAACATTATTGCAAGTAATATAGCTAGATATAAAAAGTGCACGCATGATTCCACTCATATTCATGTTTCTCTGTGTGTGTGTGCACATGTGTGTAACGGAACTTACAGTCTTGGCATGCTGGGCACCAAGTCCCTGTACACCAAGCTACCTCCCCTAGTTCCATTTATGTGAAAGGCTGAGAACAGGCGGATGTCAGTGGAGGGAATAATAAAATTAGAAGCTCTCATTGTCGCCCGTATTTCCTTGATTTCAATGAATCTTTTGGACACTGACTTTTATTCTGAGGAGAAACTCTCGAACAAACCTTTCTGACCTCTTCTTGGGGTTGGGGTGAGAATTCTGTCTCAGTTTCCCAAGTGTGAAGTGGAGGGAGCAGAAACAAAATATTCAAGTTGAGGTCCCCTTGCTGGGCTCTGTGAGGAGAAGCACTGTATTCCTCTTTGACTGGTCTCTTAGTGTCCCCTTTTCATCAAAGTGACTCAAAGTTAGGATGAAGGTCTGGAGAGAGTCACTTAGGAAGACACTGCTCCTCAGAAACACAGAAATCCATCTAGTGTTTCAGAGTCAATGTCAGGGTGAGGACTGAAGAGTCTTCCTAGTACGTCTCTTCACAGACAACCTTCAGAACCAGACACAGAGCCTAGAATGCACTAAGCCATGGGTTCAATGTCAAGAACAAGAAAGGGGAAGAGAAGCACACAAACAAGAGCTACACAATACCATGATGTGACACAGCCAAGAAATTCTTTCTAGAAGTTATGTCATGCTTTTCTGATATCCAGCCTCTGAAATGGTAAAATGATTAAATGATTTTTTTTCTTTATCTTTTAACCTACCTCTGACATCTCATTATAGTTATGGAAAGCTGCATAACAATACACATGGTGACCCATCAATCCCAAGTCACCTGCAAGACTTTCTCATCCTCCCCTCCTCCCCTGCCAGCCTTTGGGCACTGCAGAGGGGTAGTCAGCCCTCAAAGGCTAGCAGAAAGCTAGTCCTACTGAAGCCCAATCAGCTGTTACTTTTGTTCTGAATTAACAATTCAACATTCCCGAAATCAATGAATAGCTTCAAGATTCTTTTTTTTTCTTTCATTCATCATCATCATCATCATCACTGCTTTTGTTTTGTTAGGTTGGGGTTTGGAGGGGGATATTTTTAATTTGGTCCTAGGATCCCAATGTGGGACTGTGAATGCCTGGCCTCTGTGGGCAAAATCACTCATGTATCCGTGAAATTAAAAAAAACAAAAACCTTGAATTGTATGCCTTGTGCGTGTAGGCAGGATGGAGCTTTGATTATCTTCACGGAGGAATCTGTTTCCCAAAGTGCTTCAGAAGCACCACAGTGGTTTGATAAGATGAACCTGTCTCTCAGATCCAGGCTAGAGGGCATCTCAGATTTCAGAGGATGTGTGTTGCCACCAGACCCGTGGACGGGAACGTCTGAATTTGCCACCGTTTCGACACCACTCACCTTGCCAAGTCGTTAAGATCCAAACGGCCATCTTTGTTTTTGTCAAAGATCTTCATCTGAAAGGCAAAAAGGAACATGGATGTGACAAATACTTGTACCAGGAATTGATCTTGACAGGTTTGTTTGTTTGTTTGTTTGTTTGTTTGTTTAGACAGGGTTTCTCTGTATCGCCCTGGCTGTCCCAGAGTCCCAGATCTTGTTCTGTAGACCATTCTGGCCTGGAACTCACAGAGATTGTCCAGCCTCTGCCTTAGGAGAGCTGCAATTAGAGGCATGCACTATCGCCACCCAGTGATCCTAAAGTTTTTAAGGCACCTCTCTAAAGCAGCTGAGTTGAAGAACACACCTACCTGGGGGAAATGAGTATCTGCCACCAAGTGACTGGCAGCTCAGCTTCTAGTTGGGACAGGTCACAGTGACCAGTCCTCAGTGTGTTATCACAGTACAGGTCCCTGTCTTGTTCCTGTGACCGAGATCCAAGGCTAGCTGGCGCCTCTCCCTCACAGCAGCTAATCTATGGCAGCATTCCTGGTTGCCACGGTAGAAAGAAAACGACAGCTCATTTACTGATTAAAATTCTGTTATTCCCAAGCAAGCTACTGGCCACATCTAAATTCAAAGGAGTGGAGCAGTCAGCCCTGCCATGTGCTTGGAAGGAGAGATGCAGCTATTCAGGGATGGCAGCGATGACTGCTGTGTTTCCAGGAGGGGAACTAAGACTGCACAGTGATGACAGCTTGAAATCTGGTGTTTCGCTTCGAGTCAGGGTTTTATTGAAGTATTTTATATGCACCTACGGCATCTCAGCAACCATCTTAGAGAAGATGCCTCATTGAGTAGAGCAGAGGGCAAAAGACATCCAGCATTGTCCAAAGAGCCCACTTGCACTATTAGCCTGTACAAAACTTTAGGAAAGGTAGTATTGAGGTAAAAACCTTCTGTTCTAAGCTCTCAGGGTTTAGGCATGTAGAGGGGACACACTTCTTTACATATAGCAGTGGGAATGTGACTTCAGATTCTAGCGCTCCAGAGTATCTGTGGACAGATCTTGTGAGGAGCCTGCGCAGGCAAAGGAGGCATGAGCTCATTTGAATATATATTAGTTTTAGATCCTTTCTACTCCAAGTTCAGTTTACTTTTAGTATTTGATATTAATTTGAAAGTCTATTCTCCCCAACTTTGGCATAAAAAAATGGTCTATTATAGAACCTACTGAAACAGGGGAAACTTATAATAGTACGTTCCTGTAATCCCTGTACTGAGGAAACTGACGCAGGAGGATCAGTGCAAGTTCAAGGTCAACCTGGGCTACATAGTAAGACTCTATCTCATAAAGCAAAAACAGAGATGTCACAGATGGCCCAGGCGTGTCTTGGGACTTCTTACATGTCCTATCATATCCCTTAAATATATATGCTGTGTCCAGTCAGATAATGGCACTTTTTGAGGGTGTCCCACAGCTCACTCTTTGTGATGCTGCATTACAGGGGCTTCTAATAGAAAGCAAGGTTAGATTGATCCCTAAGAAAACAGTAACCTCACCTTGAAGGACGTGGGCCTGACTCCATTGCTGGGCAAACTCAAAAGGAAAACTTTCTAGGCTGAGAAGTGCTTGAGGAAGAACTGGACACCAGTGTGGTCAGTTAGACGCCCACCATCTGAACACTGCCTTCGAGGTTTACTTCAGATCAGAACTGGAGAACTCAATTGGTAAAGTACCTATTGTATAAGCATGAGGGCCTGGATTCACCCTCCAGCACCCATGTCAAAGCTGGGCTGTGAGTACACACATCTGTAACCCCAGTGCTCATCCAGGCCTGGGAGGCAGCAGACACAGAGTACTCAGTAGCCTGATGGCCAGCTAGACTGGCATGTACAGCTGTGCACAACAGAGGACCTTGCCTCCCACAGGGCGGAAGGTGAGGACCTGACCCTGGAAGTTATCCTGTGACCTCCTTATGAGTGCAATGTCGTGGGGAGTACCTGCAGTTACACACTAAGAAGCCTGCATATGAACATACACGTGCACGCATGCACACACATGCACACACACACACACACACACACACACACACACACACACACACGAGATGTAAAACACACAGACACTCTCAGAGACTTGTCTTGTAGGTGATGGTAAGTTGACAGTGATCAACCGTCTCATGATAATGACACCCTTAGTGAGAAGACAGCTTTCTGAGCAGAGGTTGGGAAGAAGTGGGTCAAAGTACCATGCATACCTAGGTGAAAGGTATTGGGCAGAGATGGGAGCCAAGCAACCTGTGGCACAATACTTAGCCGGCCAGTCTATCAGAAAGTGGAACTGGCAGTAGTGTAGAAAGTTCCGGGTGGCATTACACAGCACCATCCATCCCCCCCACCCCCCCGCCCCCAGATCAAGCATTCCATCTTGGAAGGAAGCTCTTGAAGACTCACATTGTTCTAAAAGGAGATGCAAAACATCCCATTCTGCAGGAAGCTCCTTAAAACTCAGGAAGCAACAACTCAGTTGCTTCAGAAACTCCCAGAAACAGACTAGATTCACAAGGCCCATCTTTCCTCAAGTTTATATAAGCAGGGGGATGCCGAGAGACACTCTCAGACTGGCCGAGCCACCTAGACTTCTAGAACAGCCGAGCTGCCTGGAAGAAGCAGAGACCAGCCGTGCTGCCGAGGAGGGAGGCTTAGACTTTGGAATTGCCTGTAAACTGTGCAGAGAGCTGGGCGTTGTGGCCTTTGTGAGTCATCCCCCGTGTTGGAGTGGGCTCTTCAGTGACGCAGCTGTCTTTGAGTCATCCCTGCTCCTGGAAAGCAGCCCCTCACCCGTTCTCTGGTCATATAAAAACTCATTGGATAAGCAGGTTGGAACCTTGTGCAATTGTTACTTTGGCCTGCTAGGGTTCCCTTTCTAGAGTGAGCAGACATGTTTGTTTTGTCTCCCCAGGAAGAGTCTATCACACAACATGTGGAAGTACATAAAAAGGAGATAAACTGGGACGGGTGGCTTGGTAAATAAGCAGGTAGCAATGCCTTGTCATTTTCTCTGAAATACGGTAGTCACTGGAGGGTTTAAACTGAACTGTGATCTGGCTTACGGCATGATGGGATCACAGGCTGCTCTGCTCAACCCAGAGCATAGAAGGTGAGAGTGAAGGAATGAAACCTCTTCCTTCGCCCATCATTATGGCTTAGAACAGGGTGGGAATGGCCAGGTTCATGACGTCATTTGAATATAGCTGCTATTATGTTGTGAGTCTCCCTTAAAAGAACACATGCTGGAAGCTTAGTCTCCAGGGGGCAACGTTGAGATGGGAAAGTTTAGCTTGGTCTCCAGTGAACCAGTTTTGAGTGGTGGAAAGTTTATGAGGTGGGACCCAGGCAAGTGGTTAGCTCATTCTGAGGGCTTCGTGTAGGTCTTTTGTGACTAGGATCCAGGAAGAGTGAGTTGGTAGGAGAAGAATGAGCGTGGCCTCGGGGTGTCCTGCTTCCGTCTCACTCTGTTCTGTTTCTCATACACTTTTCCTGCCATTGGGATGCATCTGCCATGACTTCCTCACCAGGAGCCAGCCAAAGAGGTGAGGACTGGCCAACCTTAGATTCTCAGTTTTCCTAAACTGTCAGCTAAATAGACCTCTTTTGTTTTCACACCACTGTGCTTCTAATATTTTGTTAATAGTGACAGGAGCTAAATTACTATAGTAGTGGACAGGATTTGCTAATTAGATGTACAGTATCAGAGAAGGCATCAAGACTGATTGTCTCGACACATCAGTCAAGAGGAAGGGAACCAGAAGCAGAGGAAGTTGATGAGACAAGGTCAGAATTTCCATTTTGGACATGCTAAGTTTGAGATGTTGGGTATAAAAGTTGAGACACATGTCCACGTGTGCCCAAGAAGTTCAGAAGAATGGTTTGAGTCAGAGACATAATGCTGTCTGGCATCAGCTTGCATTTTAAACTGGTTAGCACCATCAGCATGTAGAAAGTAGACAGACCGAGAAAATATCCCATAAATGAGTTCAGAGGGTCTCAGATTAGACGGACTTCGTGCAAGTCATAAGGCCAGCTTAACCTCATAGAAATTTCTTTAATGGTCAAAGTGTCAGAATTTCATTTGATGTTTTGTGATAGTAACTCCCAGAGTCATTAGTTTGCATTGAGCACAATTAAATATCATCTAATGATATTGTATCTAGATACACAGTCTCTCCTCCTGCCTGGAGCTGGTAGCATCCTTTCCTCCCTTCCTCCTCCAGAACATTAATTAGGAATCAGGACAGGACACAGTGTGCAGGCCTGAGCCTTTCTCTTGTGACTGGTTGTCACCCTCAGCTCATTTGTGAGCCACGCTTCACACAGCTGTCAATGCGGCCATTCTCATTAGGGTCAATTTGAAGTCGTCTGATAGGATACATCTCTTAAGCAAAGCATTGCATGCTAAACCTCGAAAGAAAATCTTCAGTGTATCTTTAAAATGATTGTGTTCATCTCCCAGTAAGAAGGCATTAAAGCAGCAGAAATGTGATTCACTTGTGGAGAATCGCTCAGCCCTCAGGAGGTACGCAGTTTCCTAGACTTGGGACTCCAGGTGAAACTAGCATTGAAGGACGGAGAGGAAACTCGAACTCAGCTCCTCTTACTGGTCGATGCTTTGTGGTGGAGACATTCACAGTGGGGGTAACAGGAATAATCACAGCATTCTGGTCCTCTCCAGATTTCCCCTGACAAAGACTCAAAGGCTGAGGCAGGGGCTGCATCTTCCTTCCCAGCTCCTCCCTAAACACATGTCAGTGGCAGAACTCACATCTTCGCATGAACTCATTTACCAGATCAAATTTAACCATAAGGAAAAAACATCAGCAGAGTGATGTCCCTCAGTAGAAAAGGGCATCTTCTGAGTCACTCTGAGAGCTGCATGATCATTGAGGAAAGGAGGACATTTAACACCATGGCTCTGAAACACCCTATTGCCATTCCTAACGTTCTTGACGTTCAATAGGACAATGAATATTGGAAGAGACCAGAGAGTGACGCCCTTTAATGTTTGGGGGCTGAAGCAAACAAGTGTTCTGGGATAAATCTTTTTGTACACTGTGAAATGTGTCTTTGCCTAAGGCACCTTCTGATTGGTTTAATAAAGAGCTGAATGGCCATTAGCTAGACAGGAGAAAATAGGTGGGACTTCCTGACAGAGATGAACTCAGGGTTAGAACCTAGGTGCACAGAAATGCCAGAGAGATACAGACTAAGTCAGACATAAAGAATGGAGGGGAGGATAAAAAAAAAGCCATGTGGCAACATGTATATTAGTAGAAGCACGTTAATTTAAGTTATTAAAGCTAGTTAAGGACAAGCCTAAGCTAACGGCCAAGCTTTCATATTCAATAAGAAGTCTCCATGTCATTTTTTGGGAGCTGGCAATTGGCAATCCAAAGATAGTCCAACAAGAAAGCTAGCTACAAACGAGAATTCCCTGTGAGGATATGAGGTCATCTGTTCCTTGGAAGGTGGGCATAGGGAACAGAGTAAGTTAAGGCAATGATATCACAAGGCCTTCCCTGTGGATGGAGTCAAGGTATCCTATACAGCCCTATATCAATACTTTGTCCCGCCCCCTTTCTCTCCCCTTAACATCTCATAGTGTCTTATCTCTGACAACATTCTTCCCATGTCTATTGCAACTTGACTATGAAGATCACACACGCACAGTCCAAAGAGAAGAGCAGAGACTCAGTTTAAGGAAACAAACTGTGATATGAATCCTGGCCCACCGGGACATGTCCTTAGCCCGTTCTTTGTGTCAGCCCTGCCCGAGGGAGTCATCAGGGTTCATAACCGGTGCTCAGGATTTTTCTGCCTGAGAATCTTTCTGCAGCAAAGGACCCCAGAAAGAGTCATAAATAGTGGAATTTGGACCTGCCAGGTGCCATGTCTACTTGGCCCTGGAGCTTTAAGTTTAAGGGAAGGGAAAAACTTGAGACACAGGACATCCTCCATGTGAAATGTGCAGGGTCATGAGGAACTATACAAGCAAGGGATATAGGAAGGTCCCCAAGAGAATCATTACTTACTCTACTGTGGTTCAGTCATAGCTCATTCTTAGCTAACAACTGAAAATTCAGTGCAATTTATATTAAGCAGCCTGCTGAGTGTCAGACTTCTGTGAGGGCAAGGACTTGGAGATAAGATGCTGCTGTGGGCTATAGCGATGCTATGTGATGGTGAGCTTTAATTGTCAACTTGATACAGCCTAGAATCACCTGGGAAGAGTCTCAGTGAAAAATTATCAACTTTTGGGCTGGCCTGGGGCATGTCCATGGGGCACTATCTAAATTAATATGGAAAAACCCAGCCCACTGTGAGCAGTACCATTCCTTAGGCAGGGGTTCCTAGCCTGTATAAAAGTACAGAAAGTGGTACCAGCCATAGTGTGCCATGGTGCTTCAACAGTAAACAAACAAACAAAACAAAATGGTAAACAGACTAACCCTTTTTGTCAATAATAAAGAAGTCTGAGTTTCATTTAAGAGAAAACAAGCTAGGCACAAGCAAGCAAGCGAGCACAGAATCACAGCCATTTCTCTCTGCCCTTGACTGTGGATGTGGTGTGACCAGCATTTTAAAGTTCCTGCCTTGACTGCCCCACAAGATAGTCTGTAACCTTAAATTTTAAGCTGAAATAAGTCCCTTTCTCCACTAATTGTCCTTTTGTTGGGACATTTTATCACAGCAACATAAATAAGGCTAGCATACCCTCAGTTCCCTACTGTGCTGGCTCTACGTTTCCACTCTGTCATGCAATGTAATATGGTGATATTTTATTGTGCTGAAATGTGATTTTATTTGTATGTTAATAAATAAAGTTTGCCTGGAGATCAGAGGTCATAGCAAGCCAGGAACAGCAGTCAGGCGGTGGTAGCCCACGCCCTTAATCCGATCACATGGCAGGCAGAGTCTCTGTGTGGTCAAGGACACAGCCAAGCATAGTGAGATAAGCCTTTAATCCTAGTACCAACCATAAAGTCCTGGAAGTCTGTATAGACAGGCGGTGACGAGGAAGTCATGTGGTTGGGTTTAGTCAATGAGAAGGCAGAACAGAAAGGCAATAAAAACACAAGTCAGGCAGGAAGAAGGTCTCTCTCTCTCTCTCTCTCTCTCTCTCTCTCTCTCTCTCTCTCTCGGGAAGCGAAGGCAATGAGGTGGTAAGATAAGGTAGTCGTGACTCTCTGATCTCTTTGGCTATTTACCTCTGTATTTGGCTCTGTGTTTCTTACTTACTAAGACTGTTTAGAATTTCGTCTACAATATAATTTTTTATTTATTTTATGTGTTGTTACTGCCCAGCTCCTCTTTCCATTTTTCTCACTGTTGACTCCCCAGTGACTAGACTCCTGCCTGGGGCTTGATAAGCACTTAATGACCGTTTGCCGGGTGACTTAGGCGAATGACCGTGATGTTAAGGTGGGGACATGCACAATAGGCTAGACAGAGTGGTACTGGGCTCACTATGAAAGGAGGTTGTAAGGATTTCTTAGGGAAAGATAACATCTAGCTGAATATTGAAGGATGTGCCAGAACCAGGGGAGGGGGAGAAATGTAGACAAAGAACAGCTGAGATCTATAATGAAGCAGAAAGCAGAGATTGGAATTGTTAACTAGAGGTGGACAGGAGCCCTCTGCTCAAATAGCTTCAAGCTGGAAGAAATGCCAGAAAGCTGCTAGAGATTGAAAATGCAAATCTATTCATTGTGTAGTTCATGTTTTACAAATTAATTAAATTGAGATAACAACAGACAGGCTAACATTCTGTTCAACTGATGTCTTAAATATGTTCAAGGCTTCCTAGTCTGGCCCCTTGAAAGATGCAAACTAGTTCCTTTTTCGTGTCTATTCCATGACAGATCTTCACTGGCACTTAGGTCAGAAGGATCTCAGGGGCTCTTGAATAGGGCACCTGCTTCCCACCCCTGGGAGATCTCCACCCTCCCAGGGCTGAGCCTGTGTCTGCTCGGGATTCCCAATATCATCCTGCATTCAGTTAGAACAAATAAGCCAAATGCTTCCTAGACGTCCTGTCTGGAGTCTGGTTCTCCCTTGAGCATCATCTTTTCTTACTTACAGGTCATCATGGTCAAGATAGCTTTCATTTTTTCCCTGGGAAGACTCAGAGTGGCCAAGGTCGAGAGTGACATTCTGGAGGGGTCCAGGGTTGACATCTAGGAAGCTGAGTTTGTGGTGCCTTTGGCTGAGAAACTTGGTTTTTCGTAGTTAGCTGATCTTTGAAATCAGTTTCAGTATTTGAGCAACCCAATTAAAAGCCCATATACAGTGCCAGGAAGACAGGTCAGTGGGTAAAATAGTTCTGCAAGTACAGGGACCTGAGTTTAATCCCTAGAGTCTACAGTTTAAAAGCCAGGGGTGGCAGCATGTGTGCAGTCCTAAATAAACTTGAGGGTCCCTGGGATGACTAGTCAGTCAGCTTAGCCAACTAACCGATAGACCTCAGGTCAGTGAGAGATCCCCATTTTTATGGGATGGTTCCTGAGGAATGACACCTGAGGTTGACTTCATGCCTTCACATGCATATGCATGCCTCCACCCCAGGCACAGATATGCTCATGCGCGCGTGCGCGCGCGCGCACACGCACGCGCACACACACACACACACACACACACACACACATAGTGGCCCACATTTTAGAAACCCACATACTGTTGTCATTTGGATATGCTCCAACTTCTCATAAGCTCTGCTCAAGAATTGTTTGTATAAATATAAATGTAATATGGAGACACTGGTTAAAAAAAAAGAGAGAGAAGTGATATAAATACAGTATTCATGTCTGAAATTCTAAAAAGCATTAAATTAAAAATATAAAATAAATGTGACGCTTCTACAATACTCAACTAAGACTGTCTATAAGTCACTTGCTTACTAATTAAGAAATCTGCAGATGTAATGAGAATGGAACACAGCCCTGGAGACAGGAAGAGGCTGGCATGGCAACAGGCACACTTCAGCACGAACTGCTGGGAGCCTTTAGTGAACACTGAAACAGAAAGCAATGATGAGCCCACCAGAGGCAACTTTTCCCCATCTAACAACTTTCCAAGGAGCTTGACCTGAAATCATCTCATGGTTATTTAGGCCAAGAATTCCTTAAGAAGAGTGTGAAATAACGGCATGACCTGCACTAAAAGACGATGACTCCAGGGCACCTGTGCTCTCCGTGGAATGCACAATGCTTCTTCAACATCAACTCGCTTTGTCCTGACATACCCAGGCACCAGTTTATCACTTTCCTAGGTCACGGCCACAGGAAACATGTGCGTTTCCATCTGCATTTCCTCTGCTCTGAGCCCACAGGCTCAGTGAATGAATCACCACGGTGGTGGGAGGCCATGTCCACCTGTTGGGTCCTGATGGCATAGGTTCATGTCTACTTGTCTCTGTGTTCCTTCGATGACCATTGAGTTTGCTAGCAAGGAGCTTAAAAGCCTAGTGTTTTCTGGACATTCCTGGTCTCCCTAAAGACAGCTGAGCAGCCCTCTCTCTGAAATGCATGCATCTGACAGAGGCTACAACAGCTCAGTTTTAGGCACTGTTGCAGAGCCAGGCTCTTCCCAGGCAGCCATCCATCAGCAAACATTTCCTGGGGAAATGAGGAGGCCAGGGCAGGCTCCCCCACAGGCCCACGCTCCTTCACTCACCATGGTGCTGGTGTACTCTTCCAGTTCAGCCTCGGAAACAGCCTTTTTGTGGTGGAGGAAAAGATCCCGGAGGAAGTTCTGTGACACCAAGAGAAGAGTGAACATAGTGAGCGGATAAGACACCAACCTGTCTAGGGTCTTTTCTGTTGGGCTGGGGATTGTGACCTGTTTCATGGAGGAAATAAAATGCTGTTAAATAAGCATAAAGCATAAGCGTGGAGGGCTGCCATTGAAGGAGCTCTTGGAAGCCAGAGAGGAACTCCAAGCACTAAACATATCGTAAAAGCTCCATTCACCTCTTTGCCAAGGACAGCAGCATGACAACCAATTTCTAAACCTTTATTTATTTTCTCATTTATTTATTCATTTTCCCAAAATTTTTTATTATTGTGCTGTATGTGTTTGCACACAGACACATGCATATAACATGTAGAGGTGTGCAAGAGTGTGTGAAAATCAGAGGACAATTCTATGGAGTTGTTTTTCTCCTTTCATCTTTACGTGGTTCTAAGGATTGAAGTTGGGTTGTCAGGCTTTTGTGTTTCCTGGCTGAGCCATCTTGCCACTTTCTAAATCTTAACATAAATACGCTCTTTTTTAAGTAATAAATTCAAAACCATGCATCTTGGGCCCACAGAAATCAAACTCATGGATAGATAGATATAGGTATAGGTATAGATAGAGACATAGGTATAGGTATAGGTATAGATATAGATAGATATAGGTATAGATATAGAGAACACCCACTGTTATTTCCCCCCGACACTTACGCAAAGCTCAGCAGCTGATATGAAGCCGCTGCTGTCCGCATCGTATTTGCGCCAAATCTGAAACACACAAAAGCCATTCGTCTCAAGCCTTAGCTGCCTGACTTCTTGTAATCTGACAAGAAGCAGCCTAATGGAGGGTTTATTTCAGCTCACAGTTCAAGAGAACACAGTCCTTCATAGTGGGGAAGGCTTGGCTGTGGAAGCTCAAAGCAGCTGGTCACATTATAGCCACAGTCAGGAAGCAGAGAATGGACAAAATACAGGGCCAGGTTACGAAACTTCAAATCCCAGGCCCAGTGATCCACTTCCTCCATTCAGGCTCTACCTCCCGAACAATGCCACCAGCAGGTACCAAGAGTTCAAACCTGTGAGCCTAGGGAGGACATCTCACATTCAAACCATACCACTGTACATCCTCAGATAGTTCAGAGTTGGCTTATACTGGATTCCTGTGGGTCGGCAGCTGAAAATGGTCGCTGCCTGGATGCAAACAGACATTTTCCGGGGAGTTCAAGACTTGCTGTGGGGAGAACAATTGTTTGGGTAGAACTCAGCAGAGATGGAGATGCATCCCTGAGATCTCTCAGCGCCACTCCAGAGGACCATGCCTCCCTCCTTTGGAAAACTCAAAATGGAAACCGAAAACAAGAGACTTCTACTGGGAACAGGTACGTAAAGCAGAAATATCTTCTTTGCATTAAAAAGTCTAAAAATGAGAGACACTATGCAAATACTTGTTTAAATATAGAGCTGAGCTGTCACACACGTGAGAGAAGTCCTAAGAGACCCCACAGGACAAAGAACCCCAGTTCCAGGAAGGAAAGAAATGACTGGAACCAAATGTGTCCTAGGCATGTCTGTTGAGCTCTGACCACACAGACAGGTGTACTCGGAGAACTGTGCTCCTGGGAGACAAATCTGAGACAACACAATGTGGAAAATCTGATTGCTATCTGTTTACAACTAAAACTCTAAAGAGCAATACGTCGGTGAAATGATGAACTTCCTGGGCAATAAAGGAGCTAAGAGCAAGACAAGGTTGCTTGTGAAACCCTAGCACCAGGGAGACCAAGGCAAGGGTATTGCCCTAAGTATAGGACCAACCTGGGTTACACAGCATGACCTGCCAAAGGAAACACCAAACAAACACTTGGCTCTGACGGCACATGCTTACAATCCCAGAACTTTGGAGAGTGGTGCAGGGGGAATCACAAGTTCAAGGCCTGTGTGGGCCACATAGAGACCCTGTCTCAAAAAGCCTAAAAGCAATGACAGAGAAAACAGACAGACTGTGGAAAGTTTCCTAAGGACTTTTGCCTGTGTGACCTCGATTCTGGGTAGAAGGGACAAATTACCACAGACACTTCCCAGTGGCAAGCCTTCCCTCTTGATGGGTAAGGCCAGCACCGATGCACTGAAGAGACAGGTGCAACCTGAACTGGAAGACAGTGCCGGTGAGTGACCTGCAGGCAGCCATGTTTGTCCAGTGCTGTTACTTTGATCACCTCTGATTGTTCTGTGGAGCCACACTATGAAAAGTATCATGAAACTTTCGGGATTTGGCTTTGCCTTGTTTTGATTTTTAGTAGACAAAATTACCCTTCTTTTATACGTGGGGTGTCTGTTACCAATCAGGATTGTTAATCTTCATTGCCAACTTTACTGGTTTAGAATCACCTAGGAGACACACTTCTTTGTGTGTCTGGGAGTCTTTCTAGACAAATTTACGGGATAGAAGAAACTCCATGAGCATGAGCAGGACCATCTCATGGACAGGGCCCCAATTAAATAAAAGAAGAGCCGGCTGAGTATCTGCATCCATCTTTCTATGCCCCCCCCCCTGACTACAGACATAGCGTGACCATTTGCTTGTCGCCCCAGCCGCCTTGCTATGTGCCCTCCCTATGATGGATCGTACTGTCAAACTGTAAACCAAAACAAACCCTTCCTAAATTTGCTTTTGTTGGAGATTGTGCCATAGCAACAGGAAAATAATGAATACACCAACTGCCAGGGTCTTCATTTCTAGACATAATGGGATTGTAGACCTTGCAGGGCTAATGTGAGACACTGGTCCTGAAACTGATGCTTAGTGAGAACGAGTCAGAAACATCTCTCCTTTCAGTCTGTGTCATTTGTAACTGGTTTAGCCAGGCTCACAAAATCTATGTCTTAAACGTGATCCACATTCTAACTTTTATATGTAAGTTTACCGCAATGATGAAAATGACAAGTAAGTTTAAGAAACACGGGTTACAGGAAGTAAGAAATGACAGGAACCAAACGTGTCCTAGGCATGTCTGTGGAGCAGCTGTCTCCCAGCAGTCTCCACTTAATGATCTTAGAGTAATATTGCCTCTGAGCCACCGGAGACAAAAGATTTTGTGTGAATATTCAGTAAGCCCATCTTTAAGAGCACAAAGTAAAAAGAGTCCCAGGCAAACAGAAAAAGCATATTGCCAGCAGACTCATAGGAAAGGTTGCATCCTAGGAAACAGGAGGAACACAAAGAACATTTAAGATGCAATAAAAACGCTAGGAAAATGGTTCAGTGGGCAGAGTGGTTGCCGCATTCAGACCTGCTGCGTGCTCTTCCCTAGTGCAGTAGAATATTAAGGAGTGTTACTTTTGTTTATGTTGCATTTGTTTAACTCTGTGAAGCTGTGTTACTGTGCCTGTGTAAAACACCTGATGGGCTAATAAAGATCTGAATGGCCAATAGCAAGGCAGGAGAAAGGATAGGTGGGGCTGGCAGGCAGAGAGAAGATATAGAAGGAGAAAACTGGAGATTGGAAAAAAATCTAGCAGCCAGAGAAGGAGGGTTGTGGGGTCCAGCCACCCAGCTACAGGGCAAGCCACAGAGTAAGAGTAAGATTTACAGAAGTAAGAGAATGGGAAGAGCCCAGAGGCAAAAGGTAGATGGATAATTTAAGTTGAGGAAAGCTGGCAAGAAACCAAGCCAAGCTAAGCCTGGGCATTCATAATTAAGAATAAACCTCCATGTTGACTTATTTGGGAGCTGGGTGGAGGGCTCCCCAAAAGAGCAAAAGTAAACAACAATATCCTAGCACCTATGGGAAAGATCTGTATGTGATGGCATGCTCTTGTAATCCCAGCTCTGAGAGGTGGAGACAGGAAAATTCCAGGGCTCCTAGCCATGAGCTCTATATTCAGTGAGAGACTTTATTACAAAAGTAAGTAGATAGGTAG